CCTCCCACTGGCCAGTGTACAGGAGGGTTAAAAGGAAACAGTCATGCAACCTCTTTTATTCGCTCCAGTTTGAAGCATGAAAACCTCAGATTAAGGAAGCTGCAGAATTGGAGTTTGCTTTGTTTTTTTTCCTGGTCGCAGCCAAGTGGGAGTCCGTGGCCGATAGCTGAATGTAAACAAAGGGGTAGGGGATGCTGGATGACATCTGGAACCTAAATCGCAGACAACTCTGGAATGTGACGCTCTGCACAGGGCTACAAACTGGAAGTGCTAGAGACCCACACCAAAGAGAAGAAATGCTTGATACAATGGAGAAATGGACATACTCTTCCTTGATATCTACAGAGGCCATTATTCTTCCTGATGAAGGGAGGCTGTAACCTACCTGATTACATTTCTGGGTCTGGAGACCGTTGGGGCCTTGGGATCCTGGGTGGGGCTGATATCACCTTTTGGTTTGGGAACTGTGTTGGAGGAGACCTGCAAAGGCTGCATGGAGATTTGTTAACCTGTACAGTGGCAGAGGTTGGTTGGAAGACTTGAACCAGGGAGGGGCTGAGAGCAGAATTCCAGCTGGGAAAGGGCCACACCTGCTAGAGCTAGGGAAGACTCTGAGCATGGTATAGACTCAGGGGGGTAAAATGTCAGGGTGTCGAGCTATTCAGGGGGTGCACTGTGGCAGCTGCAGAACTGTTAGGGGATCAGGAGCTGGAGGGCACCAGTACAGCTGGACTGTTTCCCATGTACTTATGACCCAACATTCTGCACTGCATTGCGGCATAGGTACAAGGCTAGGCCTTGAATATTCACAAACCAACTGCTGATAGCAGAAAATGTTCAGAGGGCTGAAGGTGACCAGGTCAGTGTAGGCAAGCAGCAGAGACTAATAGAGGATAGAGCCAAGTATTACTTGTAATCAAGGAGCAGTGGCAGAAAAATACTTCCTCAATGCTGAATGTTGGGAAAAGAGTGTGGTATGCGTACATGACGCTTTACCCAGAGGACATGTCAGAGCTTAGGCCCTTCAGCATTAATATGGGGATGTTATATGGTATCCAGTGGTCCTAGTAACAAGGTAGCTCCTGGTGCTCTGCCCGCAGCCTACTTATCAGGTGAGTCTTCAGAAACAGGGTCACATCTGGGGCTTAGCGACCAAAAAGCAGTCCATGGCTAACATAGCACACTTAGGTGTGGAAAGTGCCAAAATGCAGAGCCCAGTGCCCAAACAAAGTCCGGCCTAGTGCTGAGGAAACCACCCTATCAGCATAGCTGCATCCAGAGGCCAACTCAAGCAGCTTGTAGTGGAGTCTTGATTGAAGAAAATAAATCTGGATAGGAGGAAAATAGCTAGCAAGAAATGTTCTCACAGAGCAGAAAAAGAACATCCCTACTCCTGGACACTAGGCATGCTGGGAACAGGAAGGGGTATACTGGGTTGGCCCACTTTTTTTTATGCCCATGTCCAAATCATTCTGTAGTCAGCAGTATAACCCAATGAACTCTGAATCTGTGTGTCAAAGAAAGCAACTTTTAAAATGCCTAAAATGGCAACCAAAGTATGCAGAAAAGGAAAAACAAACCAAAAAGGGAAAAAAATGTCTAACCATTATGCACCATCCCTGAGTAGTAAGGCTGCATTATTATTAAATAAGTGGAGTATTTAAAGTCTTACAAATGCCCAGTGTAATTCTACTTCTCTAATACACACAGTAGTCACTGTGATTGCAAATGTTCTTTTAGAGCAAACATTTAACGTTCTTTCTCTGTTAAAACCAAAACTTTATTGCTCTGTGTCCCTGCTGGGGAGATTCACCCTGCGTATTGCTCTTGGTGACCACAATCACCCGGATAGAAAGTGATGGGAAATCAAATATTTTACAGCTGTCACCAGAAGAGGAGGAAAAGGGGAATCTTTCAATAGGTACACTGAAAGCTGCCTTCCCTCACTTCCCAATGGGAACAAAAAAAAGACACAGCTTTTAACATTTCCAACTCTATATACACAAACCGAAAAGGTTTTACCTTAAAAATTTACAGTAATGCCAAGGCTGCCACTGCTGACTTTCTTCTTGCCTGACATTCATGCTGACCCCTAGCATTGATACTTCTTTTAGTCCCTAACCCAGAACAAGTATGCACCCAGCAAAGTTGAAACCCAGTTCAGCATTTGCAGCTTCCATAGGGTTGTCTGTACAGGATGCCTTTAGGGCTGGCTTCAGACCCATACATATGTTTTTTTTATACTGCTTTGCAAAACAAATGGCAAACGCACTCATCAATTTGTTACCAGCTTTACAACAAGGTGCACATGGAAGGGCTTTAAACAGTAACAGCAAAAAGTTTCCCAGCACACTTAAAGTTGAAACCCAGTTCAGCATTTGCAGCTTCCATAGGGTTGTCTGTACAGGATGCCTTTAGGGCTGGCTTCAGACCCATACATATGTTTTTTTTATACTGCTTTGCAAAACAAATGGCAAACGCACTCATCAATTTGTTACCAGCTTTACAACAAGGTGCACATGGAAGGGCTTTAAACAGTAACAGCAAAAAGTTTCCCAGCACACTCACCAGCCAGCATGCAAAAAAAACTTGTCTCACCGCTAAAGTTAAAAACAGAGGCTTTAGATGCACGTCTTCTGCAGAAAATGTGACAGCCGCACAGCTGCGCCAAGGCACCTCTACATAGTGCGGTCCTAACTCTAAAGCATGAGAGTCTCCATCTTGGAGCACATGTAGCAAAGGATAAAATTGGGTGCAGGTTTGTCAGGAGACAGCCAACCTCTGAGAAACCTGAAGGCACCTCTGTATAGTGCGGTCCTAACTCTAAACCATGACTGACTTGATGAAGTGACACACTGGGGGTCTCAGCTGCCGTTGTGATGTGCGGGGTCCTTTGTGCGTCCCTGAGTAAGGGAGGTTGGGCTTCCTCCTGACAAACCTGCACCCAATTTTATATTTTGCTACATGTGCTCCAAGATGGAGACTATCATAGTTTAGAGTTAGGACCACACTATATAGAGGTGCCTTGGAGCAGCTTTCACATTTTCTGCAGAAGACGTGTATCTAAAACCTCTGTTTTTAACCTTAGCAGTAAGACAAGTTTTTTGCATGCTGGCTGGCGAGTGTGCTGGGAAATTTTTGCTGTTACTGTTTAAAGCCCTTCTGTGTGCACCTTGTTGTAAAGCTGGTAACAAATTGATGAGTGCGTTTGCCACTTGTTTTGCTTGACTGATTTGATGCAGTGACCCATGGGGGGCCTCAGCTGCCGTTGTGATGTGCGGGGTCTTTTGTGCGCCCCTGTGCCTTTAAGGGAGGTTGGGCTTCCTCCTGACAAACCTGCACCCAATTTTATCCTTTGCTACATGTGCTCCAAGATGGAGACTCTCATGGTTTAGAGTTAGGACCGCACTATGTAGAGGTGCCTTGGCGCAGCTTTCACATTTTCTGCAGAACACGTGTATCTAAACCTCTGTTTTTAACCTTAGCAGTGAGACAAGTTTCTTTGCATGCTGGCTGTGCTGGGAAACGTTTTGCTGTTTATACTGCTTTGGCCACGTGTATTGACATGTTATATTTGTGAACCAGCACCATTAAAAACAATGGCAATCCTCTGCGCATGCAATAAAAGATACAGGTGTATATGGGTGATAAAGACCCATCTCTATTCATATATACAAGATATCAGTTTTTAGAAGACATGATGACCTCCACACTTCATTTTATCAGCTGTTTCCTTTCATTTCTAAAGTATAGGTGCTCCCATCACCCTCGTCTTCATTGCCCATTTTTCTCATTTCACTGACACAAACACAAACTGTTAAAGTGTTTTGTTTTTTTTATCCAGAAAAAAAAAAAAAGACAGTAAATGAGAAAATGTGTTTTTATCTCAAATGTCTACAAAAGTTAATTTCTGAGATAAACATTCATCTCATACAGCATTATGTTTAAAGAGCCAGCCCCACTGAACAGTTTCCTTGGGATCTTTCCCATGTTGTAATGAGTAGCTATTTGTTTGCAGTCTCCAAGTGAACGTAGGTTGTGGGGGGGGGGGGGGGGGGAGGAGGAGTTAGGTTTCACTGTATGCTGTGTATAAGCGACTTTGCAGATTATTTATGAAAATGGGCGTTTGTAAGCCCTGTTAAACAGCAAGTATTCTAAAGATGGAGGTATAGATTTTCTGAACCAGAATGTGGGACTGCCTCTTTAAACCCGAGTTCTGCAAACAGCAGAAGAAAAAAAAAAAATGCAATGTTTAGAAATTCTGTAAAATAAGAAATTCTATTATTGCTCCACAAACTCCTGTTGCTTTCATCTACCTTTGTTAGGTGGTGGCATCAGTTTAAAAATTACCAAGCCTAAAATCGGGCATTCATTTAAGTCATAAAACAATTATATAACCTAATTCCCCCAAAATATCCAAAGTTTCCCAGAAAATGGTACATTCCACAAAGACTGGGAAGGCAGGACATTTACATTTGTCAGAGTTCTTAAGCAATTAGATTCTCGCCAGTCATGTCGCTCTTTTGTGCTACTCATACCAGTTCTTTACAAAAAAGAAAACAAAATTGCCTGCAGGGCTTCATATACATTAACATGAAATTAAAAATAGCAGAAATTATTGCTTTTGACCCGGAAATCCATTTAAAAAAAAAAAGAAATTCCTGTGAATACATTCAGTTATTGAAGCTAAGCCACTTACATGCCCTTCGGGAGGCAGGGGGGACGCGGGCGCCCCCCGCTGGAACAAAGTGTCAAAGTTCAGCTACGGAGGCCTGCAACAGCTTGAGTAATGCAGCACAGCCTATCCATCAATTCATCTGCAGGAATAAGGGATAGGTGGGCACTGGGAATAGGCGATTGAGGGGGGGTAGAAGATAAGCATAACTGTTTACTGCTTGTACCGACCAAGTGGAAAAAGCACCGATAAACTTAAACTGCCCATTCTAAATTTCCTAGCACAACATGCACAAATGGAGACTTGCGTTTCATGCTTGGTTTTCCACCTGCCGTGAAGATCATGGTACCGTTATGAGGACAGGATGATGCTCAGGAGAGAGCGGGCCCTATGGAAGAGGCAGAGGGCGCTAAAAAAAACAACGCATTTTTAGGATGGTTTGCCCCCGTTTCTTTCCAGCGTTATGGCTTAGAATCCTGTTACTGCCCCAGCAGAACAAGGCATTTAAAAAGATATGAACATAAATTTCATTCCACGATGAAAGACTGCATTATATAGCAAATTGTCTCTAAGTAAATTCTGCTCAATTACGTAGTCTTTTAATTAGGTTTTCGGGGACGGTAGAACAAATATAGAGTTCCTGCCCCACTTCAGAAAGGGACAGGGATCTTCTGCACATCTTTCAGTAGAAAGTCTCTTTGCCTGGTGTGTCCCTTGGCGTCGTATGCCTACTCCCGAATGCTGGCTGAGTATGAGAACTGAGGAAAGTGAGTGCGCTGGTCAGGTTCTAAGGCATCCAGGTTGTCGTCTGCAATGGAAAGACACATTGTCAAGACAAATACCAAACTGGGATTCCACAAGAGCAAGAACACAAATATAGTAGTAGTGCAACCAAAACAGAAAGGCATTTCTTATATTATCAATGGCATTAAAACCCAACTCCAGAAATAATGTGTGGGAGCGGGGGTTGTCACCAGGTCAGAAAGGAATGAAGAGTATAAGAAAACATCCCAACCCTTCTCAACTCTAACGAGGGTTGGGAGTCCTCGGAGAGATTTCCCATCAGTTTCATCCCTGACAGCAAAGATATGACAGAGGCTCTCACTGAATCTCATTCTATTGAAGACAAAATAAAACGTACCGGGTGCAGTTAGGCTTTAATATTACTTCTGATGTTGATACTAGATCCCAGTGAATGTTTGAGGATATCAGAATCATATGCTTTCAGTGGAAGCAGTTCCTGCACGTGTAAATGACTGACCAGAGGGCATTAAGAGGCGATTTCCGCACTATGCTTAGTTAGCTTGCTTGATATCATAGTGCTAATATTGCCACCAGGGTTTTTTGTCTGATTCCCATGCAAGACAAACGTTTTAAATCAAACTAATATTAATGCAGAAATTAGCTTTAGTGTTAAGATCTAGGAACTACCGTGCCACCCAAGGCTGCCCCACACATTGGTACATGTCTCTACTATACATACTGAACATTTTGCAGAGCAAATTTCCTACATCTATCAAGTGACTTAGTCACATTTGATCAACTCAGTGATTCTTCCTTTTAAGTTGAAACCAAGCCAAATGTGACAAATTTGTTTTCTTTTACTTACAAGTACTATTTTTCCCATTTCCTGGTACATTAGTGATGCATTATGTGCCTAAGTGATGCATCCTGGAAAGGTTACATCAGCAGAGCATTGCTGGCAAATCTCATCTATAAACTGCATAATCTCTCAGGGAAAGGCAATGTTTCCCCCTTGAGATGATGTGCATTGTCACATGTCGTTACTTACAGGAAGTAAAGGGTGATATATTAATCTGCCCTTAGTAAAAATGGCCGCTGTGAGAAGAAAAATAACGTATGCAAAGCCGGCAATTATCTAGCATTATGTGTTTGCAGATTGCCATTACTAAACATTTCTACAAGTGGCTGTTTTCATTTTAAAGATTTGGGTAAAGCTCCAGTTTAAGGTCAATTAGATTGAAACAAGTGAAAATATTTACTTACATCTGTCAGGAGGTGTTATTGTTATGGACTGAGCTGTAAATTCATCATCAAAGTATCTGGTGTCAATTTCAGAGGTGACTTGTGGCTTGAAGGGAGGGGTCAGCTGATCAGAGACAAAATGCAACAATTATTAATTACATGCAGCTTATATAAAACTTTACACTCAGCCTCTCTCCTTCCCCCCCCCCCCTACGATATGAAAGGATCAGAAACCTACCAACGCAAATACAAGAGCGGCT